GTCCTGCAGGGCCCTTCCCGCGGGATCCGTGTCCTGGTGGCCCCTCGCTGCCGGCTCCATGCCGTCCCAGCGCGCTGAAGAAGGCGGCTGTGGCGGGGACGCGTGTCCGACAGGCAACGCGACCTGAGGAGCCCCGTGGCCGCRGGGAGAGCCGTGTCCCCGCCGTCTGCGGGGCGCCCTGAGCCGGGACCCCATGGAACACCCGCCAGGCTCCATGGAACACCCGGTCCCCGTGGATCGTCTGCACCGCCGCCTCCGCGAGCCGCCCGGGGCTCCGCGTCCCTGCGGGGACGCAGGGCTCAGTGCACACGTGTTTTATTCACCAGCACTGTCAGTTCAAGCCTGATGCGCGGCGGGTTTGGTCTCGCCGTGCCCTGTGACGCCRAGGGCAGCGAGGGCCCCGCTGCCGCTCGCGCCCGCGTCAGGAAGTGCCCCGAGGGGCGCCCCGGAAGGCACGGGCAGGGTCTGACAGCGGCGACAGCAGCAGGGGGAAGCGGCCGTGCCCTGCTCCGCGCCGCGTCCCCTCCTGCTGCGCGCCCGGCCCGTGTCTTATCTCGCTTCTCCCAGGCCGGCCCCAGCCCGCGGAAGGAGCCTCTGACGACGCCTTCCTGTCCCAGGCGGCGCCTCCGCTCGCCCCGGCAGAGCTCGGCCGGGCTCCGCAGGGCCCCGCCAGCCGCTCGCCCTCCCCACGTCCCCGCGCTCCGTGTGCCCGTGTCCCCGCGTGCCCGCGCCGGCATGTGGCCCGTCCTGGTGCTGCTGCAGGCTGCGGTCCTGCCTGCGCAGCTGTGCGGTGAGTAGGGCTGGGGGCTGCGCGGGGGGCTGCTGGAGGGTCCCCCCGTGGGGCTGTCGCACGTGCCCAGCGCAGGGGGCACCGGGCACCGTGCCGCGCTGAGCGCCGTGGGGAGGAGCGTGGCAGGGAGCAGCTGCCGAGCTCGGCGCTCGCCACTTCCCGGCTCCCGCGGAGCCCCTCTTGCTGCTGCGGCGGCGGCGCCCGTGCCTGGACCCAAAGCCCGCGGCTGCGCCGGGGTGGTGCGGTCCCAAATCGCCCCTGTTCTGCCAGGCCCCGGCCTGGCTCCGGCTGCTCCAAGCGCCCCAGGGACCCTGCCAGGTCCCCAGAGGTGCCCATGGTGCTGGTGGCAGCGCATCCCTGTGTGGGGGAACCCCTGGGGCTAGCGAGAGCCTGCTCTCGGCCGGGTTTCCTGTGCGGTTTCTCGTGTTTCCTTCCTGTTCTGCGGGGAGACCGCGGGTTTCGGCTCCCGGGTGGTGCCCAGCGGGTTGGAAGCCCTGCTGGCTGCGGGACGTCCCTGCGCGTCTCCGTGGAGCCGGAGCGGCAGCACAGCCTGGGCCCCCTGCCCGTGTGCGTCGAGGGGCGCGGGGCACCCGCGCTGCCCCGTGTGCTCGGGTCCCAGCGTGCCCAAGACGTGGGGCACGAGCACCGGAGGCCCAGCGAGGGTGCGGGCTGCGGTGGCAGCGGCCGTGGCCTTCCTCGCCGCTCCTCATCCTCTCTCCCTCCTCGCTGGCAACGGCAGAGGTCCCGGATGCGGCGGCCGCGCACCACATGAGCGCCCGGCTCCTGGGCCTGGCGGAGGAGCCCGAGTGGCAGGGCAACCCCAGCATCTACGTGGCCCTTCGCCTCGCCGACAAGCACGACCTGGCCTTCGAGGCCAAGTACTTGGCAGGGCTCGAGACCGCCATGCGCACGTATGTCCCCGCGCGGCCCTGTGACCCCCGTGGCACCCGCGGCACCCACGGCACTGCCGAGCCCCGCGTGTCCACACAGGAGCCTGCACGGGAGCAGCCACTCCAAGCACCATCATCAGCGGCACCAGTCGTCATCCCAGAGCCAATCGTCCAGCGCCCACGGCCACCACAGGTACCCGAGCTCGGCACGACGGGGCCGGGGCCCGCGGTGCGACGGGCACCAGCTGCCCCGGGCAGCGCTGACGGCCCCGCTGGAATCGCAGGAGCCCCCTGAGGAAGAGCGGGCGGCCCAAGACGGGGCTGCTGGCGCTGTACGCGCTGGCGCAGCGGGCAGCCTGCGAGCCGCTCGACGCCGCGCTGCCCCTGCTGCGGCGCCTCAAGCTCGTGCTCGAGAAGGACTGGCGGGGTGAGCGAGCGCGGGCGGCAGCCCCGCGCGGGGGGACCCTTCCCGCGCGCCGCGCCGTGACACCGGGGCCTGCGCGCAGGGTCCTGGCGGCACGGCCACCCCCTCACCAACTACTACCAGTACGGGCTGGGCACGCTGGCCATGTGCGTGCAGCRCAGGCTGCTCCGGCCGGAGGTGATCCGCAGGCTGCTGGAGGCGCAGCGCAAGGGCCGGCTGCGCCACGGCGGCGGCAGCGCTGTGGGTAAGGCTGGCGGTTGGTGGGTGCGCGGCGCCGGGCACGGGGACGCCCTTCTCCTCCGCTGCCGCCCGCAGACACGGAGGCCGTGGCGGGCCTGGCCTTCGCCTGCCTGCTCCGGAGCGGGCTGCTCCCTGCCCTGGACTCGGAGCTGCGCGTGGCCGTGCGCAGCGTGAGCACCAAGCTGCTCCGCGCGCACGGCCCCGAYGGCTTCTTCGGCAACGTCTTCAGCACCCCCTTGGCCATGCAGGTGGGTGCCGCAGGTGCAGGGTGACACGGGGACAGGGAGGGCGGACCCGTGGCCCGCCTTGCACTGGCACAGCCTSTGCCTTGCCCTGAGACCTCCATCCTTTCCCTCCTAGTTCTTCATCGCCRCCAACACGTGCAGCTCGGAGCCAGCGTTCAGCCAGGCCAGGAGCAGCCTGCTCAGCAGCCTGCACAACTTCACCAACCCCATGGCCGTGTCGCAGCTGCTGCCCGTGCTCTACGGCCACAGCTACCTGGATGTGGCCTCCATAAGCTGCGAGGGGGAGAATGGTAGGAGCAGGGTGTCGGGGCACCCCGGGCCGTGCCGGCACCGGGGGCGCGAGGCCGGCGCCCGGCGCGGTGCTGCCCGTGTCCCGCAGCGCCACAGCGGCTCTCCTGCTGGCAGACACGCTGCGCCCCGTGCGTCCCACCGCGCCGCCCCTGGGGCTGGGCAGCGTCGCCGTGCGGCTGCTCGTGGAGTGCCCCAAGAAGCTCTGCCGCCACCACGTGCCCTACAACCATTCCGTGTCTGCGCCCCGCGGCTCCTCGCTCCTGGGCGTGCTGCAGGCGGCCGCCAAGCAGGACAGCCCAGCCTTCACGTAGGGACGTGCCCCTCGGCCCGGCCGGGGGCAGGATGGGGCAGGGGGYGGCCGCTGGCGCTGCCACCCGCAGCCTCCTCCTCCTTCTCTCCCCTCTCCACCAGGTTCCAAACCCAGGACAGCCTCCACGGCCCCTTTTTGACCATGGTGATGAAAGTGGAAGCCAAGATGCAAGACCGGAGGTACTGGCAGATCCTCTCGGCCCCCGACACCAGCCTGCAGATGGGTGAGTGCCCGAGGCAGCACCAGGGAGCAGCTCCCCATGGCTGCTCCGTCCCCGTACGGGGCTCCCTGGACACTCTGTGGTTCTGTGAATGCCCGTGTGTCCCACAGGGGTGCGCCTGGCACTGGGGATGGTGCCCAGAGGTGCCACGTGTCCCCAGCACGCGCTGTGTCTGGCGCAGGCGGTTGGGGGCACCCCCCCATGGTGCTGATCTCGCCACCCCTCCTCGCTGCCTCTCTCCRCAGGCATTGCCGACTACCGGCCTCACGACGGGGAGACCATCATCCTGCGGCTGAGCAAGTGGTAGCCGGTGCGGAGGGGCCGCCGCGCGCGGGGCCCACGGCGAGCGCCGGGCAGCACCGTGCAGCGCAGCTCCCGGCACCGCCATCCTGGAGAGCAGGGCTCTGGCTAAGGAAGCCGATGCCAATGAAACGTCCTTCCTGCACCGCAGGCCTCGCTGTGTYGTGTTTCCTAGGGCGCTTGTTCCCCTCAAATGCTGCGCCCCATAATCCGTCAGYGGAGGAGGGACGAGCAAGGTGCATGGTGTGACAACCCACCTCTGTCTCTGGTGTCCCCCCCGTCGCACGTGTGGCAGCTCTGGCACTGTCCCAGTACAGGTGGCACGGTGACACCGTGCTCTGCTCCGCCACAGTCGGTGCGASGCACAAAGCAGGGCTGCTCTCCTCTGCCCACCAGCCGGGCGGACCCTGGGCCTTCCCGAGCTGCGGGGGTGTCGGTGKCGGTGGCTCCAGACACGTCCTTCCGTCCCAAGGGTCTCAGAGGTGCTGGTCTCAGGGGATGGGGACACTGCACCAGCCTCCAGCGCCACAAAACAGCCCCGCCGGGCAGCGAGCAGCGTGGGCAGGAGGCGAGTCCTTGCACAGGACTGTGTGCCGCGGGCCGGGCGCTGTGCGGGCTCGCGGCGGGGCAGGCACCGCTGCCAGGGAGGAGCCAGGGGGAGATGGACATGCAAGGCGGGGAGTGTCGCGGGTGACCCAAAYGGGACCACGTCCCCAGTGCGTCGGCAGCGCGGGCTGGGGGGGCCGTGCGGGGGCCAGCGGTGACGGCGGCGGCCGGGCGGGAGCCAGCGTGACGCGCAGTGGGGAGGAGGCCGCGGCCCCCTCCCTGCCCGCATCCGCCGAGCAGCATTCCCGTGCCAGGGACATCCCGCGAGCAGCGTTCCCGGCCCGGGGACATCCCGCCGTGAGTCAGCGGGAGCGGCGCCGGCGCGGCCGCGCTGTTGCCGTTGCCGTGGCGGCCGGGGG